TCGCCAGTTAGTCTGCAACTGTCTGTTAACGTAGAAACGAGTTTTGACCCATTTTCCGTACGGGTTCCTTGAAGATTTACTTTTCAGTTTGCCATCTTGGCGCATTTAAAGATGAATTGACCCATATTTGAAATATACTAGCCCTGTTGCTATAACGACCGCCACCCGCCAGACACTGTGGCGGGAGCTCTTCTCGTAGACAGGTAGTTGGTGATGTTGCCTGCCATACTGAAGAGATTGGATTCGAATTCCATAGGAGGCATGGTTGTTTGTAAATATATAGTGTCTGTGCGACAGGAGGGCACTCAAAATATCCGGCGGGACGAAATCCTCTCGAGAGGCTGGAGGTAGGAGAAGAAGATTGGGATACTCTCGGATAGCCTCTGGAGTGTTCTCCCTCAGAATTCCAAACTGGGCAGAAACTTACTACGTACAACAGTGCCTCCATCACCTATAATACTAAAAAAAGATGCTGGTCTAGCTTCTGTTTGTAACTGTACTTGTAATTTTCGGTTACAAAGCTGGATTAACTATTAAGCAAAATAAGCATCTGCTTAGGGTACCACAAAAAAGTACTCTGAAACTGAAAAAAAGAGTCACCACAGAAACTTCCCCTTACCAGTTATCTCTGTGGAAGTATGTCGCAATCAGTCCAGGAACGAGAGAAAAAAAAATGGGGAAAAATAGCATAAATGAATGTGGGAGCACCAAATTTATTTAATTTCTTACGGTCTCTAAAAGTCTACATCCAGTGTGAAGAGGAGAAGACCAGGAACCGGGTTGCGAAGCGGTGGCTTTGAGAATTCAAAATTAGGTTAGGAAATGAGTTTCATTAAGCGACCAAAGGTTTGAGAAAGGCGAAAACCCAGAATTTCTGTTAAACTCATATCCTAGTCAACTATCATACCTCGCATTTTCCACAAACTCTTCAGAGTTGCTAACATCGTCTTTCAATAAATCCAAAGAAAAGATAAACAAGTTAATGAATGTCGTTTTTGTGCAAAATACAGGAAGTATGTATATATAAAGAAGAATTTTACGAGAATGTGGAAGCTAATGAAAATATCACACTTAAACCCGTAAAACAATTTAAATTTATATAATTTTTATTTCTTCGCTGTGCTACCACGAATAGTATATTCACGTTTTAGTGACCTCGCTAATCACCCACCTCTTCATCTTATGTCAACCGACTGCAGACTGAAATCAAGATCCATTTTCAAACCCTAGATGAAGGTCTCGGCCTTAGCCTTTCCCTCCTGGTGTATGTTGATGCGACAATGGAAACGATGGACTGGCCTTGGAAACAGGTTATTTGCAACGGCCGGGAATCGGAAGCTATCGTGAGAGAGGGAAATTGATATTAATTTTCGTCTTTCAATGAAATTTCTTCATCGCTATGATGACTCACGATATCGTGTTCAAGATGGCTTTCTTACCTCGTTTTATCTAGTGTAAGGCAAATTTAGGTGTTATTAAATATGCTGACCGTACAAAGCAAAAATTGACCTGTTTGATCCTGCCATCATTCGTTACAGTATAAGCGTCTAAAAGAGTGGGGAGATTCGAGTTGTGAAATCAGTCCACGTACGATTTAATCCTCCTCAATCCACTGAATCCCTCCCCTCCCCCTTTTTTTTCCAGCCACATGCCTTTCTTTTAGTGCTCTTACTGAAACAGACTGAGTTCTTGTTTACGTTTTAAATTTAGTTCTCCCAAAAGAGAGGCAGCGAGTCAAGAACACAATACTGAAATGTGCATATCATTGGTCCGAAGTTGGGAGCTTTTTATTTGCGCATATGAGCTCTTTATTGTGCCAAGTACGTGTCTCAGTGCTTATTTATCCATATTCCTTGCCCTCAACGCTCAAAACTGTTGAAATTCTGCTTTTTTCGCTGCTTAGTCTGGACATTCGCTGCTTGCTTCCCTATTGTACTAATGAATTAAATCCCAATAAAGGCTAGTATAATTGATCTGATTATGCTGTGTGTCCAAACGGGCAATTTCTCTAAGAGTTTTCAGTTTTTTCTTTGCTTCTCTTAGAACAGTGCTTTCCAGTCATTTCTTTTTACCCCCAAACTTTCTTCAGAAATTCCTTTCTTGCCCAGGCTGTTAAGATTCTTCTACCCCCTTCCACCTCTAGAAGTAATAGCACTTCTGTGAATTATTTTCATCATGAACGTCTATTTATGGCGTTTTTTATCCGTTTTTTTAAAAAAAGAGTCTTTTATTCTGCCATTACGTACAAATTACATGCAAAACATAGTAGTTTAAATGGATTTGAGAGCTTGCAAAATAGATATTTTCGTTGAAATATGATACCCGGAATTTTTCGAAATTACAATACTTCCTTTACTTCGTACAAGGAAGTAAAAAGACGGATAAGTTATATTTCATTAATTAATGCAAACCGTAAATTTCAACAAAGAAATTTAAGTTACTGTCCAAAGAAAAAAGCATTAAAATCGAAACTTAATTAAATAATTCACTTAACTTAAAACTGAGTTATATCACATTGTTTGTAAACAAAATGAAAGCCAAATGACAGTTGCTGAAAGTAGGAAAAGTCTTTTGTTCGTCTTTTTTGTTACATATGTGGTTCCATTTGTAATTTATCTCTAAGCTTTCTTGCTGACCCGGAACGCAGTCATATATAATATCTCAAAATCTTTCTTCTGCTTCCTTCTGACGGAGAAACAGAAATATATCAAATTGGACGTGATGGACGTTCATAACATTGCTTTGAGAAATAGAAGCATGTGTTTCAGAAAAGGATGAATTGTATGAGAGCAACATCAAAAAATAAAATTGATGTACAACGAAGCTTTAAGTGAAAGTTCTAGTACTGTCACTGTATACATAATTTCTTGCATTTACATTCAGTCTTCTGATAGCATTTGTCCTTTTGTGAAATCTGTTTCATTTTAAATTGCTGATTTGGAATCGTCAACAAATTTTCTTCTTTCAGACTTCGCTTTCAGATTTTCTTTCTTTTTAGCCCAAACGGCTATTAATTTCCTTTTGGTTGTGGCATTTCGCTATAAGCGGCGTTTCACTTTTCAAATTGTTGCCACCGACTATTATCGCCCTGTATTATATTCAAAGAAATTAGATAATGAATAACCTGCATAAATGTATGTATGTTTCTCGTATTGTGATAAAACAACGGTACTTAGAGCCATCCAGTTTTGAATAACGTACGTCTCCACACAAATTTGTGCACTTGGCAGCTCAAATTTGCTCTTTTTTTTAATTATGTGTGCTATTTCTGTTGAATTGAATTTTTCGGTTTAAGTGTAAAGAACGTGATATTTAATAAATAAATGTAACACAAAAAACGTTAAATAAAAGCCCCTTTGAACGTAATGTAAAATCTGAAAACTTTCAGATTTTGTTAAGCATAATTGTCTTTATTTATAAATTTTTAAAAAGAATATTTCTGACTAATATAGTTTCATGAAATGTTAAACATTCTTTTTTGCTTCAGTCTTTTATAAATATAGGGCCTTCGAGATTTTCATCTCGATAAACAACTCAAATTCTCATTATGTTAAATATTTCAATGAATATCATACCGCAGAAAAATTTAGAGATATTTTAAGCTGCTTGTTTTTGTTTTATATTACAGTTGTTCTTAAACACTGCATTTGTATTAATTAAGCTCGAGAAATTAAAGATATAGGAAACATGTACACTGCGAAAAAAAATTGGGACAGTTCCATATCTCTTGTTCTACTGGGCCGATTGACGAAATTCAACTTGCGTTTTTCATGTCTCGAAAGCGCGACTTAGAATATGTATTAGATTTATATATAGCATTGTTCTAACATAGGTATTTTAAGATACAATAACACGCCGAACAAATATCGATTTAGAAGTCAAACAACAAAAATCAGCGTAATATTTTCAAATTTTCACAGGACTAGTTTCGATGGTTTTATCGAACCATCATTCTCAGCTGCAAAAGCGCAAATGAACGATATAAGATAAGAAAACCTGGACAGGAGATAAGCTACTGGCGCCATCTGTTGATGAAACAAATACTAAAACATAATTTCTTTAAAGGCTGAAGGCAAAGATGGATTGGTAATTAGGGTTCGTTAACTAAGAACAGAAAGATTTTTTTTGAATGTGAAATGCCTCTAGAAAATCCAGTTCACCAATGGAAGATCTTTTTTGAATAATTTTGGCAGCAGAACAATTGAAAGTATGCGATTTTCGGAACCAACAATGTTGGGCAACAGAAACTTCTGTATTTAATTTTTTCTAACATATGCCTCATGTTCCTTAACTCGAAATTTTAAGGCTCTCCTAGTTTGGCCAATGTAAATTAAGCCACAATAGCAAGGAATCCAGTAAATACCCCAGGAATTCATATCCGGAATGGGGTCTTTCCGGATATGAATTCGTTATTCATCTGCCATCTTCGATAGATGGCTCTGTGTTCGTTTTCTCTGTGTTTTGCCCGTTGGTTTCTTTATACACATGGCTACTTCTATTCCCTTCTTCCCCAAAACTTTCTTCACCTAAACAATAGTTTGGTTTGGTTTATGTTGTTACGGCAAAGCCTGGAGGGCTATTTCCTAAGGTCAGGGATGCCTTCTTGGATGATTTTCTAAGGAAAATTGGCTCGTATACACATTACAGATGGGGAAAACCATGGAAACGCCCATGCAATCACCCCGTTCGCGAGCTTCGACTTCGGACCGAACTAGCAGTTTTCAGTAGCTTTACCGCTGGTAGGCGCCCCAAACAATAAAGCTCTTCGTCTAATTGGCATCAAAATCAACAGAGTTTTATCCAAAAACCTACCTCAGTCTCAAGTTACTTAGCTTAAAATTATTACTTCTAGATCTTTTTATTATCATTTAGCTTCTATTTGCTGCTTTTTCATGAGTTTAATATTAAATTTTGTGTGTTAAAACTGAACATTCATTTATCGTGCATTGACGTCGTAAGAGATGTTTTAGCTTATACTTATTTGGCTTTTTATCTTTCAGAAAAAATTCGAATAAATGTGACAAAGGTTTGGAAGTGGAAGATACGGATTCGGAGCTGAGTAATGACGCCATGGCCACTCGTAGCCAAGCTAAAATGTCTCTTCTTGGCAGTACCTCTTTCTGCTGTGCCTCGGGTCAAAAGGAGGACTATATACACGACGCAAAGTTGGTACCAGCTTCTAGACCGCCGAAGAAAAAACCGCCAAATATCGTTGCCAAGCGAGAACCTGGACCAGATCCGTCCACGCCAAGCAGCCCGCTGGTCGCGGCTGGGAAAGGATACTTAGGGAGAAATCGGCGGATGAAGGTTAATCAGGACAGCCTAGATGGTAAGTAATGGAGTTTAATGATTCATGTACAGATGACACGGTAACACGTAAGCCCTAATTTGTATGTGCTGTAATTATCATGTAACGATCGTCCGAAATGGTCATAAATTTTCAATCTGCTTTCTTATTTTTTCCTTTCCCAAACTTTCTTAATATGTTCTTCGACGTCTAGTTTTATGTTTGAGCTGTTCTTTATTCGTGAAGTCTTTACTTTTAGGATTAAAACTGCATTCACTAAAATCATAACTTATTCGAATATCTGAAAAATTTTGTCTTTTTCCTGTAAGTCTACTGTGTATTTAGTGTACAATCAAAGCTGGACTTCTTTTTTTTTAATCAAAAAGGTGAGGTAGCCCAGAAGGGCTATTAGTCTGGAAACGGCTAATCACTTTTTAAATTGTTCCCCCCAAATATTATCGCTCTGTATTATATTTAACGAAATTAAATAATGAAGAATCTGCATGAATGTATGCCTCGCATTATGAAAAAACGACAGTACCTAGAGCCATCAGATTTTGAATAACGTAAAGCTCCACCCGAACATGTGCACCTGGATGCCCGAATTTTGAATTTCGAATTTGTTTTATTATCTATTCCATATTTTGTAAAACTTTAACGAATTTTTGATAAACAAACTCAACGATTTCAAAGCGAACAATGGCAACACTGCGCGAGGTTGGGGGGAATTTAAAACCAGCGCCCGAGACAACCTTTCGAAAATTTTAAAGATATGCTTTTTTTAAATATTTTGCGATATTGTAGAGTCATTAGGATTTTTGAAGTACGAAACACGGAAAATGAGCTATACCCTCGCCGGGACTCGAACCTCGACCTCTCGAATACTCGCCGAGTGTGCTACACCACGAAGACATGCAGAAATCAGGGAGAAAACTTATTTGCATGACTGCAGAGATGAAAGATGCATGGACACTCCCCCTTTTAAAGGACGACTGGTTATTAGGTGACCTAGTTGCCAAATACTATTGGCGAAGAATCATTATCCACCACCTTTTAGTTCGATCACCATTGGAGAGTCATTAGGATTTTTGAAGTAGGAAACACGAAAAATGAGAAATGTCCTCTCCGAGACTCGAGCCTGGACCTATCGAATACGCTCCGAATGTGCTACCGTTACACCACGAAGGCATGCAGAAAGGAGGGAGAAAATACTTTACAATATTGCTGTTGAATTGAATTTTATGTGTGCGAATAACATAATAAGTGCGAAGAACATTTATGTGTCCGAAGAACATTTAATAAATAAAGGTAACGCACAAAACATTAAAATCGCCTCTTTGGGCGTGATAAAAAATTTGGAAGTTTTCAAGTTTTTTGCGTGGTTTTGATTTATTTTTTGTTGCTTGTCGTATTTTATTGCAAGATTTTTTTTTATTTATGGAAATTAAAATACCAAAAACATTCTATTTAGAAAAACTAAGCAAAGAAATTACTTTTTTAATTCTATTTTTCTGAATGTGCTGTTCATTTGTATTTCTATTAAAATGAAACAATAGAATTGATTTTCATTTGCTGTGCCTTTAAAACTGAACACATAATCTTTTCTTCATTTGTGTTGCCCTAAAACTAAATAAATAAATAAATTTGCGTAAAACAAAGCAAGTAATTTATTTTTATTCAAATAAAGCCGAAACAATATTTTTTTTTCATTCACGTAACAAAAAAACAGCTTTTAAATTTGATTTGAATGAAACATCGAAATGAAAATAAAGCACATTACAAAAAGCTTGCGAATAAATTAACAACATACTTAATTTTTATTTTCTGTATAAAGAACAATCATTTCGACTAGTTGAAGTTTCGGAAATCTGAAATTCGAATAACTGAAATTCTATTATGTATTAAAACTGAAGTGAAAAACAAATGCGAAAAATTAAACTATTCGCCATTAGCTGTTATTCACCTAACATTAAAAGCAACATTCAAGTTTGAAACTTTAATTAAATATATGACATAAGAAAAACTTGAATGCCAGGAAAAGAGCATATATCAACGAAGACATTCTCATTAATTTCAAGAATATTTGAAGCAGATGGAGCTAATAGTATTCTGCTGAATTGCTATGTGCTGTATGTTTTTAGAAGTAGGCTAATTAATAATTATTTTTGATTATGTTACTTCTTCTTAATCATGTAAAATGTCATTCTCCTTTTTCCGTTTTTGCATTTTTGTTTTTATATATCTTTTGCATTATACCAGACATTTCTTTATCACTAAAGCCATCAGAGAGAAATATTTCATAAACAAAGTGTCGCATTTAGACTTTTTGTTTCATATCTCTTTTGATTCTTAAAATATCTGTAATGATCTTAAAGAATAAAAGAAAAAATTTCCATTGATGATGATTTTTAAATGACGGTGATGAACCGAATGAGAAACAAGTAAGTTGTACATCAAAAACCTCGTTGAGCTTAGTTTTACATTCGTATTTTTAATTAGAAATATAATGTTAATAGCGATTCCCATTTTTGAAATAAAGCGTAGTCCATGGTGAACTTTTAAGGTTCAAATTATCAAAGAAATAAATTTGTTTGGTACTGTTCGATTATTAGGATCGGGTTCAGAAATGTATGAATGTATGCGCGTGTGTTTATATGTATATGCATACATGAACACGTACATCCATACCTTTCTGGATCCGGTCCTGATAACAGAACAGTACCATTTGTTTTATAAATTCATTTGCTTTCAAAGAAATGTGTTCAGTACCTTTCATTACTATTTAGGTTATATTTATTTTTTCGCACGCAAAAAAAATTCATATTTAAATTGCTTAGTAACCATTTATAAGCGAAAAGAACCTTTTCTGCAGTGGAATATAAATTCATCTATTTTTTTAAATACATACAAATTTCAATGACTTCATCAAGGCGTGCAGTGCTTTTTGTTATAATTCGGAAAATTAGCCAGGACCCCAAACCCATTTAAAACCCATCAAAACATTTATTTTAATAAACGTATCTTTAGAATGGCATTCAACTCATTCTTACTTGAGATTGATCAAATAAATTACCACTTTCGTAAAAATATTGATGTAGTTGGCCATTTCAATAGAAAGATTTATTCACATTTATTTTAATATGTGTATAATTAGTCCAAATGGCGTTAGCCCAGAAGAGCTATTAATTTCGTTTTGGCATTTTGCGTCTAAAACTTTAAAAGTCTGAATCACTTTTCAAATTGTTGCCACCAAATACTATCGCGATGTATTATATTTAAAGAAATTCAATAATGAAGAATCTGCATAAATATTTTAACTGCATAAAATATACTGCATAAAAGTTTCTGGCATTGCGATAAAACAACGGTACCTAGAGCCATCACATTTTGAATACGTACGTCTCCAAATATGCGCATCTGGAAGCCCAAATTTGGAATTTGTTTTATTATCTATTTCATATTTTGTAAAGCATTTAGAGTTTCTGTTTAAGAAACTCAACGATTTCAAAGCGAGCAATGGCAACACTGTACGGGAAAAAATATTATCTCCAGCGCGCGGTACTATGTATCGGAAATTCTAAAGATATGCTCTTTTAAGTATTTTGGGATATTACTGTTGAGTTGAATTTTATGGTTTAAGTGGGAAGAACATTATATTTAATAAGTGAAGGTAACGCTCTAAAAAGATAAGAAAACGCCTATACAGGCGTAATATAAAATCTGAAACCTTTCAGATTTTTTTTAAATTTCAAACTTTGCAAATTTTTAATGAATTTTTATTTATTTATTTTATCACAATAGCATTTTAATAAAAATATCCTCATTTTACCCCAGTTTAACAGATTATCACAAAGTACTGCGTCTTCCACTTTTCAAATTCTTTTTAGTACTTTATTTTTCTGAAAATGTAAGTCAACTGGAGAAGTTTAAGCGCTACGCATGCAAATAGTTATTATTTATTTTCCCTCTTATAACTCATTTGTTTAAATGAGATACCAGCAAATTTGCCCGCCAAGTTTATTAATATGATGCATAAAAATACTTTTCACTGTCTGCGTATAAACTCCGTTTTTCAATCTTCCAGAATTACACGTTCCTGAATGTGAAAACGGAGCTGGCAAATTAAGTCAAGAAGATATTAAAGTCCGCTCTAATAACCATCTTGGCGACAGCCGGCTGCGTCCTCCTGATGACAGAAGAAGACTGACCCCACCTTCCCCTCAACGTCGCCTGCCAAGAGATCCAGCCGTTACAAGGAAAGACCAAATTGAATCTCGGAGGCAAATAGATCCCTCGCGGAAGTTAAGAAGAGACAATACCAATCCATGTGTTCCTAGCAAAACCACCGATTCTTACAAGAAGTGCAGTAAACACGGAAATGATGCTCCTGGCGCATCAACTTCTTCTAATCAGAAAATAGCTGTGGTTGTGGATGAGAAACCCTTTTGTGATGTAAAAGTCGATGTATGTTTAGAGAATTATCTCGCTGGACATGGCTCCAGAGGTACGCAACAAGACATGGTCTGTCAGCAAGAAACTCCGATTTTGAAATCGGATAATGTGGTCATACAGTGCAATGAAAGATTTATGAACAAGTCGCACGAGAGTGACGACTTCGACTGTCCTTGCTGTGACAGAACATCAGCTATGATTGATGAAACAGGTGTGTCCGATACTGAGTTAAATATGTTTACGAGTTGTGATGTCATCCCATCGGTTTTGCCATCGTCCGATGAAGTTATGAGGAATACTGAAGGACACTGTGATACGGTGAGTAGAATTTTTACCCCTTCTCTATTCTACATATTTTAGCCCTGTTCTGTTCAAAGTGGCTGTTAAGGTAATATGCTATTTAACGCATCTGTCTGTGGTTAAATGCTTTACTCCTTTTATTTATTCATGAGAATGTGTAGCTTGAACATTTATTTATTTATCTGAGCATTCTGAATACTATTTTCTAGAAAATTCGATTAGTTTGTTAGGAATTAGGTTTTTTCCCACTTGTGCTTTAGGGGTGTAACGGTCAAAGCATCGATTCGGTATTTGGAAAGTCCTAAATTAGAAACGGTCAAGGATATGGTCTGTTTTTCTTTCGATATGTTATCACAAAAGTCCATTTTCTCTACTGTTGGCCTTCGAACTAAAACTGATGAAGGGTAATTCGTTACCAAACTATGATTAGTCAATTATTTTCTTTTTAATCCGAGTACCCTCAAGTCACCTTTATTAGTTTCTGGACCTACCGGGAGCCGAGTCCAAGAAGGCCATCGAGAGCCATGTCCTCAGGATACTAAGGCTCAGTTCAGGCAGTGGTATAAATGTCATAACTGGTTTAAGCCGAGCTTCGTTTCTAGGTAACCAAACCATGCTACGTCACAAAAACTAGTTTAGGGGTTTGGGCATAAAGTTCAAACCTTACACCGATTTGGTATAAGAGTCGAACAATCAGAGCGAACGATCAAAAGCTATTGAGTGGGAAAGTTGTAGACGCATCCACGCATGCGTAAATTTAGCTTCTCTAATTGGCTGCGTCTTATATCCTGTCCCGCAGTCGTGAACAGAACTCCCGCATTTTATGCTTTATGACAATACCTCTATGACATTTATGCCACCATCTGAGCGAAGCTAAGGCTGCGTTCAGACGGTAGTATAAATGTCATAACTGGTTTAAGCATTTTATGCCTTATGACAATACCTCTATGACATTTATGCCATCGTCTGAGCGAAGCTAAGGCTGCGTTCAGACGGTAGTATAAATATCATAACTGGTTTAAGCCGAGCTTCGTTGCTAGGTAACCAAACCTTGCTATGTCACAAAAACTGGTTGAAGGATTTTGGCAAAAGGTTCGAAGTTTTCAGCCTTACACCGACTTGGTATAAGAATCGACCAATCAGAGCGAATGCGCGGTATCTATTGAGTGGGAAAGCTGTGGACACATCCATGCGTGTATAAATTTAGCTTCTCTAATTGGCTAAGGCTTATACCTTGTCTGGCACTTGTGAACAGAACTCCCGCATTTTATGCCTTATGACAATGCCTCTATGACATCTATACCACCGTCTGAACGGAGCTAAGGCTGTGTTCAGACGGTAGTATAAATGTCATAACTGGTTTAAGCCGAGCTTTGTTGCTAGGTAATCAGACTTTGTTATGTCTCAAAAACTGGTTTTGGCGTAGAGTTTATAATTTCCAACTTTATGTGGATTTGGCATGCAAATCGACCAATCACCATGAACGCGCAAAATCTGTTGAGCAGAAAAATAAGCGGGAACTCTGTAGACACACTCTCGCATGCGCAAATTTAGCTTCTCTAATTGGCTACGGCTTAAACCATATCTCGCAAGGGTGAACGAAACTCGCGCATTAACTGTGCCTCTATGGCATTTATACCACCGTCTGAACGGAGCATAATAGTTTGTAGGAGTTTGGTGGTTGAAGCCCTTGAGTGACGGATGACGTGGGCATTGTCCCTTTACCTTAATGGTTAATCAGTACACCACGTCCGCCATTATCCAGATTCGTCGATGGGGTTCGCTGCCGTCCAACTGTCCGGATCATAAAACTGTAATGGTTTTTCCTACTTGTAACTTAAATAAGAGATAGCTTACGTAAAACGCCCTATGAAAACCATTTCTTCTTAGGCGGATAATGCATGAACTGTTTGCTGTAATACATAAACTGGTCTCAGAGAAATTAAGAGAGTTTTAAAATTCATGTATATTCCACCGCCGAGTTAAATGAAATGCAAATCTGATTGCTGCAGAGCCCAGTTTAACCAAGGGTATATTTTCTGTCTGACAATGAATGGGAATAGGAATTAGAGAGCGACAAAATATATATTCCCAGAATTCCTATTCCGACCTGACAGCCCATAAATTGGAATTAAAAGTGTTCCAAATTGCCCGCTAGATGCTAACATTTAATGTGCTGAGAAAATATAGGCAGTCAGTCCAGTGAGTGCATAATATGTTTTAGAAATGAATACAAGTGGGATTTAACTCGGCAATAAAGCATGAATTTTGAGTTAAAGTGACTTCAGTGATGCATAATTTTTCCAACGATCCTAAAGGTGAGATTAAATGAATTCAAAATGGTTTTGAAACTATCTCAAGTCCCATGAAAAGTGAATAATGCACTAAAGAATTAAGTGCATGTGTATAATTTCTCAGTTACTGATCTTTGAAACTTGCTTAAATAGATGTTGCCAAATAATGTGTATAGCTATGGAAATATACTAGTGTGAGTGTGCGCAATTGTTCGAAATCCTATAGCACTCTGTCTAATAAAGCGTAGAATTGAATATTAGTTGGGTATTTTTAAACCATCTCTGTATTTAATAAATTCATATAATTGAATCACTGCTTTATGTGTAACGCCAATACACGTTTCGTGTACTGCTAGAGATGGAATTTGTTTAACAAATATTTGGGGAAGAAAGTCGAAACCACATCTTCGATATTAAGCTATAAAATTATTTTTTTTATTTATTTGAACTTTTAATCATTTGTATTGTAAAGACCTTATTTTGTACTAATCAATTATTTTTATTTTAAGAAACTTTCTTTTTCGTTGTAATTTCAATTTCCTGCCAGGATGGAAATTTAAAAGAAGTATATACAAAATCTCACTGAGTTCAGAAATAGTATTTAAGTAGCAGAATTGAAGAGTTAGTAGAAGTAGAAAAGTTCGTTACGAATAGATCGGATTACGCCGGAAACGAGTTTGTGCAGCTAGCGAGATTTATACCGCATGTTTGCAAGTTGCTTTGTAGCTGAATATTTGTGTATTTGTGCTACCCACTTACTTTTGTTGTTACTGATGTTCACTTGCCTGACCTATAGTCAGCCCAAGGAAGCCATTAACCTCTCGACAGGACTTTCGGCTCGCCGCATATTTATAGTGTCTCCATGTCGTACGGATACTATATATTTACAAGCATCCATGCCTTTTCTGGGATTCGAACTCGGGCCCTTTGCACGACACTAACCACTATACCGGTTGAGCGGCGCTTTCTTTTAGATTATATTGATATTTAGACTCGGCTTTGCTGTGTGCAGCCGATAAATCTGATTTAGATGAAGTAGCAGCCAGTCATTGCAGTTGAAATTTGTTTCATCCTGAGTGTACATTTTATTTTGTATTTAAGTTACTTCACCCCAAGTATTCGTTAGTTTGTAAGTACCAAGTGTGTGCATGTTCAGTTCAGTTTAGTTAAAATAAAAAGGTTGTTATAGCCTTCGTCGGAATTTGTCTGTTTTTCAAGACATAGCGAAAATTCGCTGTCTCTTCTACATTGGGATCTACATTTTGCTCCCTAAAAGAACAAGACTCTACAGTATCTCTCCTTAAATAAAACAATAAAATTAATTTTAATTTTCGTAGGCGCTAAAATTTAGCTCATAAACTGCTTATAATTTTAGTTTATTAAAAATTAAGCAAAAAATTATTTTTTATTTGCTTCAAGCGAAATGAATTGCTTATTTGTATTTAACGAGAATTAAACTGAAATTGTAATCTTTTATTGACGTAAAATGATAAAATAATAATTTGTTTGTAAAAAAATTACAAATTGTACGTTATTAAATTTTGCATTTACTGTTTGTAGTAGATTAGTAGTTTTTGATGAACAACATAAGTACATTATTTAAAGGAACAACTCTGTAGGGTCATTAGGTTATTTTGAAGCAGAAGACGGGAAAAGTGAGCAATACTCTCACCGGGACTTGACCCTGGACCTCTCGAATACGCACCGTGTGTGCTACTGTTACACCACGAAGCCATGCAGGAAGGAGGGAGAAAATGCCCTATAACTGTTTTTAATAAAACTTCTTATTTTTCTTATTGTGAATGAGAATTTGCATATTTCTTCTTTTGAATTATGCCTGCCGTGAATGGAAAATGAAATGCCATATTACATATTGAACGAATATTAAAATTTCGTGTTGAATACTTCTATAAATTAACATTGGAAACTGTGACCTAAAATAATATAAAATATCTATTTTAATTTAAATGAATAACTTAATAATCCGTTGTTGTTGTCATGTCTATGATGAAGTCTCAAATGTTACCTCGAGCGAAGATGACAGTTCTGGCAATTTGCAAAATGTTATCATCGTAGAGGTTTGGTCTGCTTTAAACTTGAACTTCAATTTTTTACAATTCCGCAAAGATAGCTGGACAATCCATCCCATAATCAGGTTTTAAATATTTTTGCAAAGTTTCCGATGAATCGCGAAATAAATATCGAAACTGAGTAATAAAGTAAGCCATGAAAGGGGTCGTTGTAAAAAGAGTTCAACAAATTTGGAAATAAATTATGCTAAAATTATTCCAGTTTGAATAGATAATTTTTTACTGCCGCGAGTGATAGCGCATTATATGGTAAAAGCGCGTTCAACGTAGATAAGCGATGAGAGCCAACAACAACAAAATTTCTTTTGATTTTTCTTTAACTCTTTCCCCGAGGAAAATAGAGCAAGACAACACTTATAAGCTCACGTATATAGTAAAAAACAACAGTATTGTTGTATACAGTACAAAACAAACACAACATATAAACAAAATGCCGAGATGAAAAATGTGTGGTTTTGTTTGAATAACTTTAAATGATAATGAATTATTAAATTATTTCATAAAATACTTTGCACAGTTCACACCATAATACTTATTACTTTTATAAATCTATGGAGGAACTCTGTAAGAGATTTCGCAGGGGGTTTGCAGCTTTGTAAATCGTTCTCTGCATTCGTGAATGAACTTGACGATTTAGACCTAGAAGATGAGTAAGAGAAGAAAGTGAAACAAGCAGAAACTTGCAGAATCATTTTTAGGGAGAGTAGATTTTCACTGCTTATACGACTTCTCCGTGTGCAAATGCCTGATATTCCCCCTTTTGGTTGTGTATAAGAGCTAGTTTTTCTTAGCAAGTCCACCACGAAGGCATCCATTGCCTTAGGAAGATAGTCTCCACGTGCTTTGCCATAATTAAAGGAACCAAGGTAAGCCAAACCCCGTTTCAGTTTTAGGTGTCGTTTTAATGCTAAATTTGTTTTGATTTTACAAAAAGCTATTTAAATTAATTGTATTTAAAGCTTAATTTCGATATATATATAAACAAAGTCGGAAGTAACTGAAAAGCAGGAAGAGGAATTTTGATGGCGAAGAAGTGTCGATCCATAATGACTAGGAAATTAGAGGCGAAGGCAGATTAAATCTTCAGTTTTATTTTCTGGACCATGTTGCGGCTGTACACAAGTCGACACATTAAATGTGCCTGTTCCAAAAAGCTTACATTTTTCATAACTTTGTGGCAAGAAAGCAGCAGCAGACAGACAGCAGTCTAAGGTAAAGCGTAGAAAGAAAGTGAGTAATGTTCAGGATGAAATTTCAAGTCAGACTGAGTTACTTTTGGTTTTCAAAGCATTTTGATTGGACAGTAAATATTGCTGTAAAATTACTGTTGGCTGGTTTAGTTCCATTTACATCATCATAATTACGTAAGAGTCATATGACATAGATTTTTCTCGAAATGACGCAGTGCAGAGAGGGGTCTCTATTTTTCGAATTGAGAAGGGAAATTTACGTTGCTAATTTAATCTTTTACATATTCTTTATTTTTCTTACATATATAAGTAAGATAAAAATATGTAAATCAGATTTATAATTTAATTTACTAATAGTCTGTTAATTCTTCATTTTTAATTTAGCTATTTCCTCTCTGTATTCTAGAAACAATAACTTTTGCGGGCTGCGCAATTTTTAGATTGATTTATGTCATATGGCTTGCGTAGCGCTAATGACGTAACTAATTCGGAACTTAAACTAGAATATCGAGAACTGAAACTTTTCTAACCTAAAACAAAACCTTCCTCTTGGTGGTACTGGATAAATACACATTTCGGTTGTATCTCTGTTGTTGCTTGGACGCCATTTCATTTCGCTGTGCTCTTTTCCTATCGCAGTAGTATTCAAAACTGTAAATGTTCTAAGCACGATTAGAGTGCCAAATGAATTGTGGTGTGAATTTCAATAACAATAGAATTTAATCTGCCTCGACTGTCAAGTTTCCTATTAATTATGGATTAGCATTCTACGCAAGCAAAATCCTTCTTGTTCAGTATGGATCCACTAAGCTTCTGCGCATTCTGCGTTCTACGCAATCGGTATTTCTGCGTTTCTACATCTGATTGTTCCCACTTCAGTACTTCTCAATTTGTTTTTATTACGCACACATACATATATATATAAGTTAAAAGAAAATTCCTTGTTCGTACGCTAAAAAATTGCTTAGATACTGTTGTTCCGTGAAAATATTAACATAAGTAAAATAAGGCGCAATGGAATGTGTAATAAAGATAAAACAAACAATACAAACACTTGAATATTTACAAATAAAATTCAATACTAATTGTAAGCAATATGCTAATCAAAGTAGGGCATATTTTAAACATTAGACGTAAAGTGCGACAAATGATTTAAGCAAAAATATAAAAACAAAGAAGCGATAAATGGTATATTAGCCTAATTCGAATCTCATTCTGGCTCTTCAGAGGAAATTATTTTTAATGATTTTCGAATCAAGCTAACTCCATACCGCGTTTCGCCGAAACAGACAATTGAAACTGTATACGAAACACTTTTTGTAAATTAATTCAGAAAAATTTTGCCAAAAACTTTAGTCTCAATTCTCTGTTCCAATTTCCCGACGCATCCGCTTGAGGAAACACATTAAGGTGTAATAAAAAGTATAAGTAATGGATTGGTAATGCCGATGTACAAAATAAAATAAATAGCGATTTACTATTAGTCAAAATATACAAGATTTTATGGGAGGACCTACTAGCTTATAGAGTTTAAATTTTGTGAAAGTACCAAAAATTAAATTAAAAATAATAATAATAATAAAACAAATGAATATTTTAGTAAGGGTCTTGCTAAGACCAACAATCAAATATATATCTAGATATATAAAATTAAACAATAAAATTTCTTGTCAGGAACAAAAAAATCTCTGAGGCACATATTTATTTCCCTCCCTCACTGTCATAAATTTACATTTCATTCCGTTTCTTGAGTTTTTAATGCTATTCTAATAGCTATGTATGACGAAGTACAAAATGTTTAAATGGAAATTCCATTTAGAACTAAATATATCCCCCTTCCCCCCTCCCAAAAATTGGGGCTTCTGAAAATATATATTTAAATTTCGATCACGATCACTAGAGAGAACGTTTAAATTAAAAATGCTCCGAAACTAATCTTCAAAACATGAACTGAATATCGCAGAACGCCCTCTGTGAATCGTCTGCAGCTGGCTGGGTAAAAGGAGTGATCACCTTTTGCTAGGACATATGAGAATGGCATTCCTGAATCGAGATTCTTTTTGAAGCAACTAATACAGTTCAAACATACAAGGCCGTCGACATGTTTTTGTTTTTTGTTTTGATAGTACTACCGCTTTCGATTTAAGAACCAAACTGGTCTGGTAATTTAGGTACCACCTGCGGACTTTCAAGGTCATTCAAGGTGGATCGAGAAGTGCATTGCGCGAGAAGTAAAGAATTAGTTGAAATTTTTTGCGAAGTACGCTCTCGGCGTGATGTACTTTCCATTTTTGTATTCTGTTGATGTGACTGTTTCTTAATTTTATTTTATTTATATAGATATTTTTTATTACACTGGATAAGCTGTGATCTCAATACAATCTATTCAGAAAAATTCAACTAAACACAAATTTAATTTTATTTTTCTGAGGATATTATTAATAGAATTCTGTTGTGTTTTTTGAGTTCGAAACTTTCAGTTTCATTTTCCAAAATAAGAAATTCAGGTTTTGTTTTTATGATTACGAAAATGCGTAGTAAATTGTGCTACGTTGTGCTACTCCCCCTATTGTTTATTTCTGAACTCCGTCTAATGTGTTGCTCCCTCTTATGTGTATTGAAACCAGGCGCACACAACTTTTGCGATAATTGCGAATAACTCACAATATTGTTGCATGAGTACGGGTTCGTAATAGATTAAGTGCACACAGTTCCGATGATAGGTTAATAAAATTTATTTTTTATCAAAAGAAATACTTCAAAATTCTGGAATCTTCCACAGATATCCTCATACGGTGTTCACTGTATCACAGAGTGCATTCAGTAGTAAATTTAAAACTTCTAAGAACGTTAAACACAACGCAATGCAAAGGCATTTTAAGAGAAAGCTAAGGGAGATATCTCGGTTCACGCTGAACTAACAATTCGCAACAACAATAAGTAGCTAGCTAAACAGCTGAGAGCAGATGCTCTCTTTTCGGCCTTATATGGTTTTTCCGCCGACCGCTGAGATATTTCTAGCACTTTTTGCTTCTTGGAAATTACTGGAAAGCAATACGAAGGTCGAATTGTGGTTACAGCTACCAGAGTAGTCAATTACATTTATTCAGTTTCAATACATATTACGGTGATGCAGGGACTGGACTAAAAGGTCTCCAAATTTGAAGCCTTTATCGCCAAATTTGGCGAACAAATAAGTCTCCCAATTCGTTGTCAGCTTGGCGAGATATCGTCAAATAACCGAAGTACCTTTTTACTCAATGTTAAATGCATTTGCCCCTGCATTCTTACTTTTTCGGCATAGTTTTTCTCAAGATTTTCCACGTTACATTGTAGAGTCATTAGGTTAATTGGAAGCCAGAGAGATGAAAAATTAGCAACCGCCTTCGCCGGGAATCAAACCACGGACCTCTGGAATACCGGCCCAGCCTGCTACCGTTACACCACGAAGGGTTGCTAGGGAAGTGGGAGAAATACCTTATAACATTACACAGAAAAAACAAAAATTTTACATATAATTGCATATAATCTATCTATGTACAAAATTCTTAACAATATAATTCTGATGTTGTTTTATATTCTCAGCGATTGGATTTGCATCACTTAGAACCAGAATTCAGTTATTACTAAACCAAATGAACTCACTTTTAATTTCTACCTCCCGGTTGTCTATTGAAAAGCTTACTAAAATCCAAGGAGAGGTCGCCGTTTGGACATTGTGCTGTTTAAAAGTCCCAAATTGCAAAACTCCATTAGGAGGTTTTTTTTTTTTTTTTTTTATTTTTTTTTTTTATAGTGATATCTGCTTGCTTTGTTCTTAATGCAGTTCTACTAATTGATGGCACTATGGGTAAAGAGAATATATTTCATATTTGGAAATCGGATATCAAATATATTCCTGATAAGATGTAGAGTTGACCATTACATTTTTTACTCCACTTTATTTTTAATTTGCCGTTGTATGGAAAACAAGTAACAAACATAAATAAATCCCTTTGAAAACCTTTCTGTAGATTCCTTGAATCACATTTTAAGATATCTTTCCCTTTGATGATAATAAATAGATCTGTTTTTAGTGCAGTCATTTAAATACACCCAAGATTCATCTATTGTGAAAACATTTATCTGGATAAATATTTCTCTTAAAGAATTCTGCCGTGCGTTCTGCGTTCGGCGATATGTCGTGGAGAAAACGATGCACATCATTTTTTTTTTAAATTTTAATTTATTTATTTGCTTTTTTACGATTCAAATCAGCATTAATCACTCTGTTTACAGTTCACACTGAGCATTTTAATAAATTTGCAACTGTCTTCTTTTACTTGGTGGATTTTCTTTTAACATGAAATATCTTGCTTTTGCAGAATTGCAAACAATCTGTTTTTTTCTTGGTTATGTATTTAGAACAATTTCTCCACTTGAAGACAAACGACGTTTTTTTCCTTTCTTCTTATCACATATCGTAGCTTCAGATATCGGAAAACCATGGCTTTCACGACGTTTATTAATAACTAGATTCTTTTATTAATAACTAGATTAATAACTAGTTTATTAATAACTAGATTTCGAATAACTTTCTTCGAAAAGAGCGCAAGCATAAGCTTCCACTCACTGCTTTTTATAAAATGCCATTTTTCATGAAAACAAATCTGTGAAGAAGCAAACGATAATTTATACTTTCAAAAATATAGCTGCAGTTGAAAAAAAATTCCAAGCATTTTATTTTCTTCTATAGCAAAGCAAAATCGATAATTTATACTTTCAAAAATATAGCTTCAGTTAAAAAAATTCCAGGCATTTGATTTACTTCTATAGCAAAGTAAAATTGATAATTTATACTTTCAG